ATAGTTTTGCGAGATTCCGCAATACTTTGCGAGATCCCGCAATACTTTTGCGAGATCCCGCAATAGTTTTGCGAGATTCCGCAATACTTTTGCGAGATCCCGCAATACTTTTGCGAGATCCCGCAATAGTTTTGCGAGATCTCGCAAAACTATTGCGGGATACCGCAAAAGTATTGAGTGTTCTTGCAAAAGTTTATTTTTTGCGAGATCTCGCAAAAGTTTTGCAGGATCTCGCAAAACTTTATTTTTTCCCTCCATGTCCCTTTAGGGGCTCCATAGATATTAGAATAAAATTAGAGAATTATGAGAATAACCTTACAAGATGAAAAATTAAATATGTTTAGGAAAATGTCATAAAATTATGAAAAAAGTTCAAATGCTACCAGAAACAAATTTATAAGAATTATAATTATAGAATAAAGTATTATAAAAATAAAGTAATTCTACAGTATAACTTGGCTAATGTCATTAGTAAAATAAAGAAAGAGCCTTCTGTCATGAAAACCATGAGAGAGCAATCTACCTCCTGTATTAAAAAGCTGGGTACAGGATGAGGCGATAAAACACCTTTACGTCACAATTCTACAACTTTACTGTTATAGCATCCCAGATTTACTCTGGTAATATTATTACTCAATTCTATCTATGTTACTGAAGATACTACTTACCTGTTAACAGCTAAAGGTGCAGGAAACAGTATTAAAAGATATTTGAGATTTTTTAACCATTGCTTTTGTGAGAGGTTCATTTACAATACAGGACTAGAACTTAAGAAAAAAAGACGAAAAGATTGGAAGAATAGTTCATTAATGATTTTTGCTTGATTTTTATTTTTTTTTTTAAAGATCAGGGTTTTTTGTTTTTTTTAACACTCAATGTCATGGTTTAAGAAAAGTCATTTTGTATACACCCTCAGTGTTCAATGCATCAGGTTTTGAGGGACCCTAAGTCATTTCCTTTGCTTGAGTTGATCCAATAAAAACCATTATGTAGGAAATAAACTCTTAAGGATAGGCTCTATTATAGATCAGATATGAACTGCTTGATATTTTAAAAGAACTGTAAAAAAAATATAATAAACTATCGATTAAAAATGAGCTTAAAATAATACACAAATCTCTACATAATTTTTGGCCTCCTAATATGAGTCAGTCCTTTCTTTTTATTGAGGCCCCCAAAATATGTTGAAAACTGATCTGTTTTGGCCTCCACCTCTAGATCATACAGTATTTAGCTTAAAACAACTTGTGTTGGCTGTTTTATTTTAATCAACCTAGTAGCTGTACATACTATATTTAACCAAAGCAAACTGAAATGCTATTTCTTTTTTATTTTACATAATTAGTTAAAATCACATGATTACAGTTGGGATAGTACATAATTAGATAGACATCAGATACACTCTATTTTAAATTCATTGCAGTTACTTTGCGAGCCTTAATGGATGAATATATAATTTAAATAGCCGTTAACCCGGCTGGAAGAAACGTGAAGCTAAACATTTTAAAGTTTGGAAGTTCATGATCATTTGACCGACTTTTGAACTTCCTGAAGTAATAAAAAGTGTTCCTGGATAAAAAAAAAAAACTGACTTTGACGCAGGGGTGGAAAGTAATGTATTACATTTACTCAAGTTACTGTAATTGAGTACTTTTTATGAGTAATTCATAATTTTCTGAGTAGTTTTTGAAATATGTATTTTTTACTTTTACTCAAGTAAATTTTAACCTAAGTAGTTTTACTTTGCTACATTTAAAATCCTCTCAACGTTACTGAGTAAGTGGCCCTGCCTTGCATTTATCCTTTGTATTGTCTCATAATCCAGTGCTGCGCTTCAGAAGATGGCAGTTGCTAATCACAACTTATGGAGTATGGATGAGGAAAGGCCTGAAGAGGAAACATATTCTCGAGACGAAAGACAGAAAAACCCTCGGCCATATTTGGAAGGATTATTTGTTTTCAAATGCACAAAAGGGAACATATGCAGTGCAACATTAGCCTGACGTAGT